CAAAAGTTGCTGCTGTAGTTGTGGGTTCATCCTTAATCCAGTGGGGTGGACACCACCAAAACTGCATGTGATGAATGCTGGGGACAAAAACTGCAAAGGTATGTAGCTACAGTGATGTGTTATTTGTAATGACATAAGGAAGGCAATGAATATAAAGCATGAGAGAATTCTGCCATTGTGAATATGCTTATGGGCCGTGAATGTCATTTACAGCTCTTGTGTTAGAGCAGCTCACGTCCATTAAAATCCCTTTGGAAATGAGAGGCTAGAGACAGCCACTCCACTTGGGGTGTGCAGCAATTCCTTTTCCAGCAACTCAGACGTCAGCAGGATGGGAGACTCTGACCTTTTGTAAGGATTTCAGATTTTATACCAATTCCATTTAAAGCATCTCGTTTTATTACTTTAAAAGTCTCTCAAAACTCTCCTCCCCACCAAAACAAGATAGTTAAGTACAATACCATATAGTTTGTAAGTTACGCATCCAGTTAATAAAATACAGTATAATATTATTATATATGTTATTATATAATATAATTAATATAATTAATGTAAAATAATATACCTTGCTTTGTTATACAGCCCATCCCAGAGGTCATTATAGAGGGGGGAGCTGTTTAGCAGTGAGCAGACACTTGACTATTACCCCAAACAGGGTGCCCTATGTGCTTATTTCCCGAAGCAAATACTGCAGCAGATAACAGTCTTTTAAAGTGTGTGTGTGTGTGTGTGTGGATATTTAAGGCAGCCTCTCAGGAGAGCTGGGATGATAGAGGATTTCAGTAATAAATTAAATGCTGTTGGCAGTTTAAAATTTATTAATAAGCAAAAGCAAGTGCAATTACACTGAGCATCTTCTGAAAAAAAGTTCAATCAACTTCAGCTCCTGCCAAGGTTGGAAAATTGCATTATAGTGTCAGGTGGACATCAATATCCTTCCCAAGGGCATTCCTATTTGCACCTTCACCTGCAGACAAGCTCCTTGGAACCCAGCCAGCCCAACCTGGGCTTTGCCCTCTGCTGCTTTTGGGGATGGGTGCAGGCACATTGTGGCAGTGTTACCTGGCAGCTGTGATTGCTGCTTATTGCCTCACCAAGCCTGAAATTAGCCCCAGTGATCTGGCACAGAGTGAAATGCAAACAAACTCCAGCAAGGCTCCTGGGTCAAGGTCAGCCCTTTCTTACCCTTAGTGCTCCTTGAGTCAGCTTTGCCCTCTGATGGCCTTGGGCATGCCTGGGGAGAATGAGAGCTTGTGGTTTTAATGGCTTGAGGAGGAAAATATACAGGATGGGAAGAAAAAGGAGAGTGATGTGGGAATTACAGGATGGAATAGTGAGTTGGGATGAGACTCTGAAAAACATGGGAAGAAAATGCTCAATATCAGAGCAACATTACAGGGAGAGGTGTGGAGAAAAGCTGAGTATTGAAGTGCCAGCATAAATGGGTTTTGCTCCTACTTGGTTAGAAAACACTTGTGTCCTAATGGGACCCCAGAGTGAGCTGGGACAGATCCCCAACCACTTCACATATGCCCATGGGAGCATGGCAGGTGTCCACTTCTGGCACAATCTGTGCTCCCAAGTGTCTCTGGGCAAGGAGCACAGCCAGGTCTGCTCGCACATGGCAAAGCAACAAGTCCATGGGCTACTTTTTGGCACAGTTCCTACCAGGACTGTACATCTGCCTCCTCTGCTTTCATCTTCTCTTTCTCAAAATGAGGGAATCTCAGCCTATGGGAAGAGAAGGGATTGTTCCATGTGCAGCAAGATCCACCCAGGATTGTGAACTTTCTCTTTGTACCAAATTGGATCTGCCCAGAGATGCCTGACAAGGACAGGTGATCCATTCCTTTCAGTGCCCCTCGGCTGGGGCACCAGTTCTGGCTTGCAGGGTCAAACCCCAGCCACTGATGGGATGATAAAGAACCAAATTTTGATATGGGAGTGGAGCTGTGTAAGGAGTTACCACAGACATCTCTGTTTAGTCTGATTAATTATTTTTGCTAATTGTTAAAATAAATCAGTGTTTGAATGAAACTTGCCACCAACAGTACATGTTGAAGGACTGGAACTACTGCTGGGGATCAGAAAGGTAAGAATCCAGCTGTATATACATGAGTATTAACGAGACTTAGTTTTGCCAAATGCAAGCTAATTCTGTAGAATTCTGTACAAAAGCAGTATGAAACACACCAAAAGGCTGGAGCTCTCTCTATGTGCTCCATAGGAATCACTTTGCCAGTAGCATCTTCACTACAATGAAATCCTCAGCTGCTACTTGTGGGCAAAAACAAAAGAAGACCCACTGCTGTCCCAGTGCTCTCTTACATTCTATGAACTTTACTGTAATTAAAAAATACACATCAATCATACAGTGCAAATGAAGCAAAAGCTTAAGTTCTTGTACGAGCTGACTGAGGCAGGGGCTTGCAGGTGCAAACTGTTGTGCCAAAATCTTGCTGCTTTTCAGAAACAGTGCAAAAACCTCCCTGGGTTGAATGCATGCAAGATTTCTTCCCCACATTTCCAAACAATAGTAAGTTAATACCTGGGGAAAAAATAATCTGTGTGTGTATATATATATATATACACACACAATGTGAGTGCATTCAGCTAGCTACTGAAACAAAAACGTACCCTTTTCTTGTCACAGCCCCAGCTAGGCTCTGCAGAAAGCACAAAATGAGTGAAAATGTGAAGCAGCCTCTGTTCTAATATCCACCAGGGTTTGCTTGCGTGTTGAGTCAGGGCTGTTGATTTTCCTCTCTCACTACAGCTCTTGTGCTCCACCCTTCTGCTGGTGGGTGGTTGTTGGTTTTTTTTTTTCCCCCAGCTTTTGCAATCTGACAGAGGCGGGTGAAAGCAGGTTGAGGGAACAAGCATTCCCCTGAAGAGGAGCTGGAGGAGAGTCCCCAAGCCCTGTCGGCACTAGGTAAAGGACAGCCAGCCACGTCACTTGCTTTAGCCTAACACCTTCCCACCCAAACCCCGGAGGTACACTGCCAGTTTTCCAGGTAAGCCTTTTTTTTCAACCCCGAATCTTGGCAGCTGAGTGCTCCCTAACCAGGAAGTTCAATCTGTTTGAAAACAAAACACAGTAGAAAATGGCATAAGGGCAGGGCAGCAAATGCTCAGCTCCTCTATGTTACACACATGCTGGTTTGTTTAGTCAGT